CCTCTTCCCACTAGTTTACCTTCATATTATTGATATTTTTTATTAATTATTCGGAAATGTTTTTTTTATCCTTACTGTATTTGTATAAGAAATTATAAGAAATTAGTCTAAAAATAATAAAAATGTAGCTTGAGCCCATCTATTACTATTATAAGAAAAATATTATGTGTATCGTCATCCGTCGTCATTGATGAGCAAGAATCAAATACGACATGTCTTCCTTTATCGAAATTTTATTTTTATAACATTGATTCAGCTTTAGATATCATCATCGTCGTCATCGTTATCATTAATAGTAATAAAATAATATATATAATATATTTTTAAAAATAATATCTTTTTTTAAGACGACTCTTTTTTTTCATAATTTTCAATTGATCGATGTCCCTTTACATTATATTTCCTATAATATTCTTGATAATATACAATAGTAGCTCTCATATTTTCTGATCGATCAATCTATTTCATGAATCGATTCATCGATACTAATATTTTTAAAATTTATAGTATTATTTTAAAATAATATAGTTATTTTTCTTTCTAAATAAATAAAAATACTTAAAGGTATATTAAAAAATACGATAACTAACAACAGGTAAATCTCATACATTATGATTAGATTTATTTATCCCCTGATTACATGCTCTAATTGTATTGTTAGAAGACATTTCAAGAATTATGCTAAATAAAAAGTGTTTTTAGAATATATAAAAATAAAGATATCTATGGATATGTTTTTCCAAGAATTCATCCATCTACTTCGGAATTATTTTAATATCTATGAGAATATCGAAAATATTTCCGATAAAACTGTTAGCTATCGTCGGTTATATATATATATATAAATATATATATATCACTGTCCGTCCATTCATCGGTCACAGATCCGAACCGTTTGATCCTTCATCTGTTCAAGGACACCGAAGGGATCACGACCGCACATTTGTCCGAGTCAACGACGAAGACCAACGGTTCGTGGCCTGAAAGTACCATAAAGTACAGACGGTGAATAGTGCCGAAGGTTTTTCTTAAATTGTAATTTTGAAGTCCTTAGGGATGTAATCATAAAAGTACCATTTCAATCCCCAGCTGACACCAAAAAAGGCCGGACTTTTACGGTGCAGACGACAACACTGCGCGGTTGGATTCGGTGTCCTGTAGAGAGAGAGAGAGAGAGAGAGAGAGAGGGGAGTCTGTGGGTAATGTGGTCTTGGGTTCAAGTGTGTTCTTTACCTATTATGGCGGTTTTGGTTTTGTCGCAAGGGGTGGAAAGGAGAGAGAAGTGGTCCGTTTGTGTGTGTGTGTAGGTTTGATGAAGAAGATATCGTCGTGCGACCGGGAACCGCCGCTGCGCAATCGGGTTCTGGTCTCCTTTGGGATGGGAACAAATCGGACCGGTTGTCATTACCCTATAATCTCACGTTAGTAATTTTGAGTTCCGGAGGGTGGGATTGATTGGCACTGCATGTGGATTGTCGGAAAGGTCGGATCTTTCCGTTGTCTTTTTCGCGTGGTCTCGGTTGTGCCCATCGGAACCGCCGTTGATCGGCGAAAAGATTTGTACCCCATTAGTTTTTCCGGCCACCGGTCTCGGAGCCGGCGGCCAAGATTCGTTCTTGGAGTCGATTTCTGCCGCGGACTGCTCTGGTGAGACGGATTTGCCCTCGTATACGTCGGGTCGTTCTTCGCCGGTGTCCTCGCCGTCGCCACCATGGCGAGCTCGTCCGGGTCGGTTGATTACTGGAGGAAGTTCTTCCGAAGCGCCAACTCCGACATCTTCGAGGTCATCGAGCAAGCGATCCTGGTGGCGGCGTCGGATTGCCCCCGGCAGTTCCGGAGCAGGAGGGATCAGATCGTGGAGAAGCTCTTCGCCGCGCTGCTGCCGCGGTGCTTCGGCTGTGACCGCGTCGAGCTGAGAGGGGCCGAGGGGGACGGCAGCATGAGGAGGCTCGGAGAGAAGGAGAGCAAGGCGGACAGCAGCAACGACGGGCCCGAGTCCTTGAATCGGGCGGTGAGCAACTACACGTATGACGAGGCGGAGGCGCTCACCGAGGAGATCGAAGAGGAGGGCCAGATTGTTGGAGAGGTCATGAGGATCAAAGAGATCCTCGGAAACCAACACGATGAGGTAATTTGTGTGGCTTTTCATCGATTTAGTATTGCATTATGATCCAGAGAATGTAAATTGGCCGCATTTAGATGTGTGATGTTGGTGGAGTACCATTGAGCTTGAGCTTGCTGATGCTTCTTTGCAGTCTGATGCTGTCTTGTTGGAGTCTTTAAGGAGGCTGCAACTGATGGAGCTTTCTGTTGATGTCCTCAAGGTGTTGATCTTGCATTCCTCTCTATCCCTTTTGTTCTATGTTGGACTCAAGATCAGGATGCGTACATTATTGCAGCAATTTGATGATTTCAAAGTGCCTGTAACTCCTTTGCATCATTGATCTGTTTTGGTTTCTTTTGGTTGTTAGGCGACTGAGATCGGAAGGGCTGTTAATGGCCTGCGTAAACACAACTCGAAGCAAATTCGCCACCTGGTTCGCACTCTCATCGAGTGAGTTTCTCTTGTCGTATGATATGGTTTACTGATGGTGGTAGAGCAAATGATATATTCTATAGAGTTTAGTGCACTGTTCTTTATTTCAGAACGGATGCAAGTTTAAGATGTTTTTGTTGCTTGTGGATAGTTTGTGATCCTTTCTTTCTTTAGGTCAAGTATACAATTGCACTTTGCATTGTGTGTGATCAGAAGATTTTTAAATCTGAGTTTAGACTGATGCATTTGGTCTTGCTGGAATCAGAAATGGTTTCTTCAGTTTCTTTTGCATTGGATGTTGGATGTGTTGTACCTGTTTGATACTCGGTCGTGCGCTTCCATTTAGTGAAAGATAAAAAGGAAGCAAAATTGTTTCCGGTTAAGAGGTGCATATACAAATTGTTCTTAGACTTTTCTAATCGCTTGGGTTTATGTTTGGGTTGCAGTGGTTGGAAGGTTTTGGTTGATGAATGGGTCAGTGCTGCCGCTGCCGTTGCCGGTATGTTATATGTTCATCTCATGTCTGGCACAGATATACATTTATGATCTCTCATATGTGAGTATGAACTTGTGATTTACAGGTAACTCTCCAGACTCTGTAACTCCTTCTGTTATCGATGATGAGGAAGGGCTTCCTTCTCCTCCATTAGACGAGGGAGCACTATTTGCTACTCAGACAACTTCCATCCAACTCTCGAAGGTACGATATGAAATATTTGTAGCACCGTTGCTCTATTCTTTACAATTGATATAATGTTCCACCTTTTCGTGCGCTAATTGGGTGCCGTTTTATGCGTCTTTTTACTCTTGGGTCTTGAAGTTCTTTGACGGAATGGATGATGACGGAAGTGAGTACTGGGGCTTTTCGGATTACCTTCTGGGTTTCCTTTTCTTGTTAATTTTCTGATTTATGGTATCATCCTTGTGCTGGCAATTCGCTGCAGATTTTAGAAACAGTGGGGAGTCTGACGAGGGGTGGGAAAATGGAACGAAGCCTACAAACTATGAAATATTAAAGAAACAACAGCCTATGCAGCTACCTGTTGCTCGAGAAGAGAACCGAGAGATGAGGCGAGGTCCGCAACAGTCTAACTTTGTAAAAGAGAAGGGACATGTAAGGAGGCGAGAGCCATGGCAATCAGCTATTCCAGAAGATAAGTTGCATATGAGAAGACGAGAATTAGAAATGAGGCAACCAGAGCTTCATGAAATCTGTGTCTGGCAAGCAACATCCCAAAGCATACTAAGCAAACAGAGCAAGGCTGTGATTGTTGAATCGGGACCAGGCAAATCAGCAAAGTTCGCCCCTGAGCAGAAAGCATCCAGCGAGGCGAAAGTTAAACAACAACAAGACACTGCTGCACTTAAAAGGAAGCCACCGATGATCCTGCAAGACGTAAGTTTAACCAAACATATGGAAATTTGAAATATGATAGGTTTTGAAAAAGTCTGAAACTTTTTCATCTATTAGAAATCAAAATACTCCGAAGAAGCTTCTGTCCAGGCTAAGCTGGAGGTCGTAAGGCGGAAGCTTCACGAAGGCTACCGGCAAGCAGAAAATGGTTCGTTTTTTACTTATAAGCTTCGATCAGTTGCTCACAACTTTTTCTCATGGCGCAATTGTAGAAGTTAATCTGATTCATGGCGTATGTTTCATATGATGCAGCAAAAAAGCAGCGAACAATACAAGTAATGGAGTTGCATGATATTCCAAAGCAGGCACACAACAGCCAGCCTGTTCCGAAATCCCGAAGCCACTTTAGGAATCGGGCAAATGGGTGGCAATAGTTCAGTCAATTATCAAATTGGAGTTTGGAATTGCAGCCGATGGCGTTCCTTTCTCATTCAAAGGAAGAACCACAGCTCGCTGCATTTTCCTTGCATATGGTACTGACACCTTAATCATGTATCACCATAAAGAGGGCACTCAGGAAGCCGGAATGTCGACATTTATGTAGAACCAGGTGTACATTAATCTGAGATAAATTGCTGATCATGTACAGAATTCGACAAACCCATCACATTTCTGTGTTTCTCGATCTCTCCTTTACGACGTAAAAGCAACGCGTTACAGTTAGCATCTCGCAGTTGCAGTTTCTCTGAATGCCTCGGCTGATTCTTGCATGATCACTTGGTGGCTAACTGCTGCATTGCACTTCTTGTACAACTATTACATTGTTGATTATGGTTACAGTGATGATCAATCATGTAGTTGCGGCAACTTCATTCATTATCTGGTAACAAACGACATATTCTGCAATGCATTCTGGTTTAGCCTATTTTACACACTGGGATTTACTGGACACAGTTGCTAAGATCACTGCTGTTTCTTGTTGTTGGGGTTGTCAATCAGATTCAAGCTAATGTTTCTGTGTCAACCAAAAGTGAAACCACATTGCAAAAAGCTTTGCTTGTGCTGCTGTGTTCTGTTCTTATAGAAACTACAGAACACAATGAAAGCTTGTCCTCTAATGGTGGCATGGGAGTCCAAGGCCATAAAAAGAACACCCAACTCCCCCAATTTAATTGGCAGCGCCACTTTCTTTGACGGTGGCCTGCTTTCCCCCACTATGTTCCTTCTTTTTGATGCTGTATTCCTTCATCCTCCTCTCGGTGGAACTTTTCCTCCAAAGAAGATTTGGCCGCAGAGGAAAGGTAAAGTGTAGAAATGGCTGGTCCACGATGAACAGGAGAAGGCACATCTGCCTGCTCTGTTCCGGTAGTCAACTCATCAATCAGCTTCTCTTTGGTTTGGTCACCACAGAAAATGCCGGCACTGTGACAGTTTCTTGGGGTTGAGAATTCAAAGCTTATGTTGTTTCGTGGGTATTATGTCGAGAAGAATTATACGGATGTTAATGTTAAATTTAACCGTCAATGTGATGTCCAAAAGTTAGCTTCACATAATTGACTTTTCCAGAAGAAGTTATTTTCCAGAAGAAGTTTCCACATCAGACCTGACGCAGCCATCCATAATCACATCCAACACAAAGGTTGTGGAGCACTATTGACCACTCTTTTGACATGGCAATCATTCAAACAACAGAGTGGTAGGTTGGCCGACTCTGTGAAAAAGCACTTTGGGTGAATGAAAAGAGAGAGAGAGAGAGAGAGAGAGAAAAGATCAAGGAGCATAGTTGTTCTTTGAAGGACTTGCAAGTGAGAGCTCCACGCATTTTTGAGGGATTCCACCTTCCAACTCAACAAAATTGTGTAGCTGGCCATGACACTAATGAGATAGAAAGAGCAAGTTGGGTTGTCTCTGTCTCCTTCTCTTTGATATGTTTCTCCTCTTAATTTATTGTTTGGGGGAGAATGTGAACAGTGTGCTTTGAATCACAAGGAATGGAGGGTGGAGACACGTATAAGCTGTCAGCTGGTTCTACTCACCAACAAGTCGGCGGCAGGATTTGTAGTTTCTTGTGATAGGGCACAGGTTGCTCATGTTCAACCACACAACTTGGGGAGCAACAACTCACTAAATATAACACAGTTTGAAGGCTGCAATGAGATTCCAGGCTTTACCTCTTTGTAAAAATGGCCTTCCTCCTGCATTTAAGATGTTGTTTAGGTGACATTGCAGACTCTTTAGTACAGCATAAGAACCAGAAAATTGATTGTGGTACTCAAAACTGGCTTCTATGTGTCTTGTGGCAAACAACAGAAACACATGAAGAATCCACATCGATCGACCACATCCCCAGCCTTTCAAGCTCCTTCTGTACCAAAGCTGATGCCATCTCTTGAGACCAGAAGACCATGTTCAGTTTGCTCTCGGTACGGTTCATGGTGATAGCACCTAATTTCACACCAACGGCTGAGTCATCAACTCTCACATCAGCATTATCATCTAAAGCTTTCCTAGCAAGATACACAAAATTCTTGTGTTCCATCAGGTGGGAGTTGCTTCCTGTCAGGGACTGGCACTCTGCCACCACCTTGTGAATGTAATCATCATTCCACATCTTCAAGGAAGGTGGAGAGCTCTTCACAAACAACAGCCCCACATCTTTTACAACAACAAAGTCATAGGAGGGATGCGGCAACTCGGATAATGAGCCACTACCTGGAATCATGTTACCGTCTATCAACCACAAGTTATATCCTAATTCCAGGCACTTCTGAACTATAGTGGCTTTAACCCATATCTCCCTTATGATGTCTGTTTCACGTTCAAGATATACTGACTTGTCGTGCCTAATGCTAGAAATCAACTGATCTGCATCGATTACAGGATATCCTCTTCTGGCAAGGTCGATCAAGAACTCTGGATTGCCACCAAGGAGAATGAAGTTCAGTGAACCAGCTTTTTCAAGATTGCAAATCAAGTTTTTAGCAATCCTCTCTGTTGTCTGGTACAAGCTTATTACGATTATTGTTTTCTGCTGCTTCAAGGAGTATAGTAAGGACCTGAGTCCACTAAAGTCGCTCACAATTCTGCCTGGCAGTGTTTCTGTGAAACAGAAATCATACCATTTTAAGTTCCTCAGTGGCGGCACTTCCCAGAGATTGAAACTAAGAGATTCATCTACCAACAAACTTGAATCAGGACCAACCGTCTTCCCATAATTTACACCTGCATCCCTGTGAGAGATGCTGAGTGCTCTTTCTTGCTCAAAGTTTGTATAGATATTGTAGTACCCTCGGGAATGGATGAATTTGATGAACCAAGGAGTCCAAATTCTCTCGCCAAACCTTTTGTACCATCCTGTTGTCACCTGCAAATATAGCAAAAAGAATGAAGGATAAGAGATGACATTCTTGTAATAGTTGATACGCCAAAACATGAAATAATAGGACAGAAGGAGAATGCAAATTTTTAAAGGAGTTCTTAGTGTGCCAATGAGGCTCCTTTTATTCGGAAAATCTCTTGTACTCAAAAACTTTAGCAAAACTTCTTTTGCTGCTCACAACAAATAAGATTACCATGCCTTGAAGAATTGGTTTGATTTCTTTGGATTTGTGCTCATCATACCACAGGCGGAATTCCTTCCATGGTTTTGGAAAAAGAAGCTGACCCCATGTGCCAACCATCTGGTATAAGAAAATTCGTGTTTCACTGCCCACTTGCAGCTTGTTTCCATTTTTACCTGTAATTTGTATATAATGAGAGTCATACATGTACCATAAGCCATAAGCCAAACCTTTGCCTTCACAAAAAAGTAACAAGAAATTGGCTTCAGAAATAACAGTGGAGTGCACACCAGACTTCTATGGTGAAGAAAATGAAGGCAAAAAATGCAATTAAATACTGCTTGCACCCTCATCTACTGCTTTGTTATCAGTGTCCACAAAACCAGTCTGTAACTGCTCCAGACTGATATATAGTTCAACGAAACAAATCATACAAGCAAAACTAAAATTGTCCATTGTTGCAAATCCAACCATCCAACTTTAAAAAAAAGAGAAGCAAGTCCGACTGGTAGAAAATACTTACAAATCAACGAAAGAAATGGTCTTTCAAAAACAAAAAAAAGATTATAATCTGGTTGCTATGAAAATAAAGAAGTGTGTCCTGCAACTCAAGGATATTCCATGGAAGGAGGTGAATCCATCTTTCATGACATAGCAAAGAGATATAAGGAGTCCAAACATTTGAAGAAGGTTAATCTCCATTGAGAAAACTGAACTCCCTATATCTTCTTTAACTCCATTGAGTTGATACTTCTGATTGAACAGAATTCCAAGAGAAATTTTGCAACAACATATGCAATAACATGGCAGCAATAGTGCACTAATAAATGAAAAGTAGGTATATACCTAAAAGGCAATCAACGAACTGCTCAAAGTATCTGGTGAAAATGCATCAGCATCTATATAGATGACACTGTAATAGGAGTTTAACTTATGGCTTCTTACTTTATGATGACCGCAACCAAATATTCGAAAGTAAATTTTCAACCTGAAATCTGATACGATGGTGTCAAGATCAGCAACATAATTAATTAGAAGACAAGAAATCCCAATCGGAATACACACTGACCTTAAAGACAGGGTTAAGCTGGAATTAAAAACCAGATAATTTTATTGAATGCGGAACAGATTTGTATGATTCCATCGAGCAGTTCTGTAGATATATGATATTGATGAATATTATAGACTACAATAAGGCAAGATGGTGTACTATGTGCTAACAGTGCCAACTTTGACAAACCTAAATCCTTCTGAACTTGTATATCTTGTCATTTTCCTGCCTAAATTAATCCCACGAATTGCTTTCTTGAACATCTCAGAAAGATCTTCCAAAAGTCGGTTCCATAAGAACTAGGCATAAGCTATAACACGAAGAGAGGAAAAGGGTTCATCATCATACCAGCAACGAACCTCGGCCGCTGCAGAGACGCCCCATAGATGGACGGATCGTAGTTCGCCGGGTCGTAGTAGTACTTCAAGATCAGCCCTTTCAGGAACTTGTAGTACAGCGGGGACAGCTCGAGGTCGTCCTCCACCACGAAGGCGAACTCGTCATCGGAGCTCGGCCACCATGCCTCCAGCCACTGGGCCTGTAGCCCGGCATTGGCCGTCCGGTAGTGCACGATCTTGTCCCCGTGGGGCCAGTGAAGGCGGTCGACGAGATACAGGATCCGGCGCGACTCCTCCAGCTTGCGGTCGAGGGTGGCGCCGGAGGAGCCATTGAGCGGGCGGAAGTGGTCTACGAGGACGTGGAGGTGGACGCGGTCACCGGTGTAGTCGGCGGCGGCGAGCGATCGGAGACATCGGCGGAGCGAGTCGATGCGGTCGAATGTGAGGAGCTTGATGATGAACGTGAAGCGAGGATTAGGGTTGGGGCTTGATGAAAGGAGAAGGGAGGAGGATGAGGAGTGGTAGAAGAAGAGGAGGAGGGCAGAGAAGGAGAGGAAGAAGAGGAGGGGAAGGAGCGGCCTCCGCTTGGGTTGCATTCTTTGGGAACTAATCATTAGGGATAGCGTTTGAAGGAATCATCTACCGATCGTCCGCTCGGGGACGCACTTCTCCTCCTCCTCCTCCTTGCTTGGAGCGCAGCCCGACGGGAGTGGTAGAGATCTGAAGTCCCCCATCGATCGCAGGCAGGTAAATTTTGCCCGGTTCATTTCTTTCCTTTCCCCCTCTTCCCGGTTCAATCGACTCGCTGTTTGGTTCAACTCAAGCTTGGGTCGGGTCCTAATAATAGGACAAATTAGAATCAGATACTGTCCTAATAAATAGCAGCAGCTATCACTTTTATTGCCGAGTTGTACGGAACGAGCACCGTTCACTTTGCTGGATACCAGTGTACATGCTCGTAAGGTTGACGGATTGGAGACGACATCAACCTGTAGAAGGTCGATCACCAACAGAGACTTCCACATGACCAAACCTTAAATCTTGATTACTAGATACTAGATGTAGAACATCGATCGGATCTCATGACTTCATGCAACAAACGATGAACATACTACAAAGAGACACTGCACTGCATCCTACTGAAAACAGATTGATCCCAGCAAGGCCTAACTCATCAGCCACTGCTACCGTCAATGGCGTCAACAGCAACATCATCGTTGCCGGTGGCGTTGGCAGCAGCAGTAGCAGGAACGCTGGTGCTTGTGCTACTACTGAGGCTCAGCATCATTTGCCGGACGCCTCTGGCATACTCGAGCAACTTGTCGATGGCCGGAATGGTCTCCTTCACCTCATTCTGCTCCTCGAAGTCTCGCAGCCATGCATGGAACGCAGGGAAGGATTCAGGGTCGACGAGCTTCACCTCCATCACTTCTTCGAACACGGCGAGCCAGTAGGAGCCGCACCCGAGGACGACGTCCAACAGACCGATCTTGTCGCCTCCAAAGAACCTCCTGCCCTTGAATGCACCGTCCCTCATCTCGCACTCGAGTAGCTTCAGGTTCTCGTGGACTTGGTCGACGGCCGCCTTCTGGCCTTCGCCTGACGACGAAAACACCGCTCCGACCGCCGGCGCAAGCTGCATTTGCAACAGGCCCAAGCTAAGGATAAATCCAATTTGGACATGAGCGTAGATGGGATCACCTTATCCTCAGCGAAGTGGCACCAGAAGCGGGCAACGGCGCGCTCGAAGGGGTCGGCGGGCGTAAGCGGGTTGCCGGCCCAGGTCTCGTCGATGTACTGGAGGATGACGACGGACTCGACGACGGGGCGGTCTTTATGGAGGAGGACGGGGACCATCTTGTACACGGGGTTGTGGAGGACGAGGGCGGGGCTGATGTTGACGACGTCCTCCTCCTGGTAGTCGAACTCCAAGCCTTTGAGCTTGAGAGCGAGCTGGACGCGGTGGGTGTGGGAGTCGGCCCATGAGCCGAGGAGCTTAAGAGAGGAGTGCTGATCCATCAATGCCGATCCTTGGAAGGAAGGAGAAGGCAAGGGGTCGATGCTTCTCTTGATCTCTTGTATGGCTCAGAAGCTTTAAAGCCTTTTTATAGAAGGAGAGGGGAGGTTAGTGTGTGTGTCACACGCAGAAACCCTAATATCGATCACTTGGAAGACTTGTAATAGATTGTTTCTGAACTTAATTCCTTCAGAGACAGAAAACAAACTGGACTAAAATGGTGATTATGACCAAAGGAGATGAGTACTGTGTGCATATCTGAAAGAGATATGGAGAGGTTGAGAAGCACAGATCAAGCACATAGAGGTGGGCATGCAGGAGGAGGATGGAGGTAAGCCAGGCATGTGGATGGAGTCAGGTGGAGTGGCATAGCATTATGAGGGAGGGAGGGGAAGTCTACCACCATTTCTGCCTGCTGCAAGGTACGCTTGTCTGTACTTGGCCACATACGCCAATGAGATGTTGCGATCATTAGCAAAGGCAAAGCTCCATCGGAGTACACAAGATCAAAGACTCTCTCTCTCTCTCTAGGTATAGAGATCGCCAAGATATCAAACATGGTTATGACCAGCCATGGAAAAGTTCCTGTCCGTCCATGGGACACTTCTGCATGATATCTCATTTTGCCCTGTCTTCATCCTGCTCCAAACGCTCTCATCCACAACACGACACCAACACCACTTAAAGGAGCAGTAGCTCTTAGTGGAAACAGAGCTTTAACGCAACCCCACGTCGAGTGGGGGGGAAGGGGGTAACGTGTGGAGGACGAAGGTCACCAGCTCCCGTCCTGGCACAGCCACAGGCAGGCGACGGTAGGTCGCCCTGTAAAACCCTCGTTCACGTCAATTCCACACAGCAAAAGAAGGATAGGAAGATAGTGGGTGTGGGGGGGGCCTTTCATGGCCACATCCATCTTTCCGTAGAGATATTCTGATTCCTACCACCCCCCACGTCTTCTCATCTCTCACTGTTCACTGCGGGCTCGGTGATGAATGCTGCCTGAGATGAGTAAAGCAAGAAACTTCTCTTCTTTGGATGGGAATCTCTCTTCTCCTAACACTGATGGCTCAGTGGCACTGTTCCAAGGTAAGGATGGGGAGCAGAGGGATGCACTTTTTACTGGAGCCCATTCCTCGACTTCCACTGCTGCTGCTGCCACTTTGCTGCAGTTTTTCTCTGTACCCTTTATAGGACATTGCCGGGCAAAGGAGCTGACAGAGTCCACTCTTTTGTTCTCAATGGCACGGAAGTGGCTTGCGCTCACCACGAGAGCTATTGCTCGAGTGGACCAGACGAGTCTCCCTTTGAAGGGAACAGAGCAGAAGCTCTCTGTCCATGGGGATGTGCATGCAGGTTTGCACGCATAACACAACACAAGCAATCAGCACTAGTTCTGATGACAATTTGATGGAACAAGGAATTTTTGGACTCCAGAAATCTCTCAGGTTATATAAGAACTGCAAACCAATCTCTTGCTACCAATCAACAACCAAGAACATAAGTACATGGCTTCTCCTCTACTCTTCCTTTCTTTTATTGTTGTTGTCTCCTTTTAAGCTTTCATCTGTTTAATATATTGCCAAAAAAATATAAACTATCTTCTAAATCCAACATATAATTGGCTACTAGGCTTCTTCATGTAAGTCAGTGACTGAGAATTGTAGTAAGAAGCTATTGCTCAAGAAAAGAAGTATTAAAGAGTCTGATGGGCCAAGCAATGTAGTGAATTGCATGTCACCATTAGAAAAATGCTCCAGGAATGGACCAAGCATTGTTTTTCTGCGTGCAGTGGGTTAAGAGAAGTCAGACTTCTTCCTCCTCCCCTCCTCATTTCTTGTCCTTGTTGCAGCAAATCAACCACTTCTCCTTGTCTAACTTGCTATTCTTATTGAGAAGGTTCAGATTGAAACGCTGGCATTCTCCTTTCTTTTTTGGCAGACTCAGGCGGTCTCCAGTAAACTACTGACTCTTCTTCTGGTCTCATGATGCGAAGTGGGAAACATGTCTTCTCGGGTTGGACTTGCACAGATTTTACTCTTCTTCGTTTCTGCATGTCATGATGGATCTTAATTACAAGAGGTGGAATTGCCTGCACTTCCTTTTGCTCTTCTCACCTGTTGTGTGGATGCTTGCTGACCCACTGTGGACTTGGCATCGGTTTCAGGCAGAGGGGACCGGCATTCCTTTCCCACACTTGTTGCTGGGTATTGAGCCCAGCCACGGAGGAATCGTCTGCATCTGTTTACCCTCTTCGCATGCTTGTCTTGATGCCTTAGCCACGGCCAGCACGTCACTCTGAGCCCGAGACTGAGCCATCTCAAACTGAGCTCGGCTGATGACTGAGAACACGGCGGCCGGAGAGCATCTCTTCCATTCGATGATGTGATATACTATCTAACATGAATGTTAATATACTACTATTAATATAAATTTATAGAAAAATATAAATCAAGAAAATAAAAAAGGCATCTTGGAAAAAATCACCCTAAACAAGTCTTCTTAAGCTCCACAGATATATCATTGTTGGCCTTTCCAACAGCGAAGAGATGGTTTCCGGTTATATTACCCGTCACTATCACTAATGTCCTGCTAAATAATGATAGCATGATTACTACATTTAATCATACGGTTTGTTTCATTTAGATTAATAACGATAAAATGTTGCTACCAAAATCAATAACTTATCCTCTTCCCAAGGAAAAGGACAAGCGGTGCAGAAACCCCTACAGAATAACTGATTCGGATAAGGCTAAATGTTGTCCATAGATATTTCATGTACTTTTTACATGACATATATATAAACATATCATGGGATGAGTTACCATCATCCGCATCTTTGTCTGAAACGTGTGTCATGCAACTTGTGCATCTCGTCTTGTTTGGGTCATGGATTGCATGATATCCCGTCCATTCATGACACTGTTTCACCTACATCTCATAGGCATGTTAGATTAAGAGAGAGAGAGAGAGAGGGAAAAGCAAGTATAATTTTGATTCTCGGAGGACGAATGATCAGAAACTGACACGTGAAGAAGGACAAAAGTAACTGCATCGAAAGGCACAAGATCATGATGATCATCGAACGTCAGGGGCACGCAGAAATCATCCACCGTCCATAGTTCTTGATTCCCTGGGCCAACGCACGAGGACCACGACAAACTGGTAAAACCATTTGCGACACGAAGGCCACCCTCCACAGTGGAACACAGACGTACACCCAGAGCAGGGGATCCGGCGGGCCCACATTTCTGGCCACGAAACTCAAGCCACGTACGCAGAGGAGCAACCATTCGAGGGGCGATGAACTGCGTCAAGCATGCCGCGGATCACGTTAACGTGGCGGTCGTGGCGTCACCATCTGCTAGTTCGGGCGATCGAGTATAAAGAGACTGGAATTAAACATGATGATAGCAGCCGTCCCTTCCGGTAGTATGGTCATCAGTCAATAAAATAACCGAAATAAATGTCACCTCGCCGTTCCCAGAACAACCAACCTGAGCCAGAAATCAGAGGGAGAGAGAGAGAGAGAGGACGACCCAAAG